ATTACGATCTAGACTGATCTCATTTTGAAGAATGAAAGTAATCCTGCCGAAATTTACTTCAATGAGATTTATTTGTAAATTTCGCTTAAATTATTTTTACTCTATGTATAAAAAAAATTCTAAAATGAGGTACGAAATTGATAAAACAAGTTGGTGAATCAAGAATATCTGCAGTCTCGTGTAAAGTCACCATTTCGTATGTTCTGTGGTCGATACAATGACCGTCAAAAACAATTCATCAATGAGTCAAAATGCTGACTGACGTTTTTCATATTAATTGTAAGTAGTTCATTATTTATATACTGAATTGACGACTTTTTTTTTCGTTATTTCCCGATCATGACAAGGAGCACACGGTGGGTATGACCGGTCGGCAGGGGATGCTCACTCATCCATAGCATTTGATCCCACCTCTGATGTTTTGGAGGTCCGTGTTTGCTCGACACCTATAATATAATTTTGTTTTGTTAACTTTTGATCTATCAATTTCTTGTTGTTAAGACAACTTGTATGTCTAGGGATATATACACTAGCGAGGATATCGTTTTTATATTATTTCCAGTGTATTCGTGTCATGATAGAGTTTTTGTTTTCTCAAACAACTCTATATCGGATTCCTCTTTTCCTTGATAATGGTCCCTAATAAGTACTTGTTTTAGATGACTTTTGATAGGAGTTGTTGTCTTCCTTTCCATAATATTTATCATGTTGACCTTTATATTCGGTTGTTCCATGTTCTGATTAGCGATATGCCCTTATCATATATATATATATATATATATATATGTAATACTGAAGCTGCTAACACAACTTACTATATATATATATCCAACAATGCTTGCAACTGGTTCAAGAGCTACTTTGCCATTATACTGAGGATGATACTGTATTGCATGTATAAGGTATTTTCTCCCACTCTAACCGTATTTCCATACCCATGTTTGATGATGGGTACTGTTATTATGGCAATGAATACTTAAAAAACTATTTGCAACAAACTCGCGTAATAATAACTGATTTTTTCAAAGAATAAAATAGCTCAAATACTTCCCACTTCAACATTTTTATAAAAAATTAGATGTCTTTGCAAAAATATCCAATAGAAACCAGAAATTCCTGGGAATGACTTAAATTCAATTCCTATGGTATTTACAGGCTTTCCTTTAGTTGCTTATGTCATTACTGGATCTATGGATACAACATCGATTTAGATAACATATCCAGGGTATTCTTCTTCCTCGCACCAGGCAATTAATTAAACATGTTTTGTTTTTGGTTTTTAAGCCTGCTCCCTACAATCCCACAAATAATTTGCTATTATGTTTCAGACAAGCTCTCAAATGATTAACCAAGAATATTTCTGTCATGTAAGTAAACCAAACAATATTTGTCTTTTATTGAAGACGTACCAGAACTATCTCATTAACCAAATGGTATGACCTTGTTATTAAAAAATGCTGCATGAGGTTTGCCTTTTATTTGGTCCAACTCAGCTTGCACGTACCAAGAACATAAATCCAAAGATATCCAGCTAAATAATTATTCTAATGATTTATCAAAGTACAGTACTGTAATGGTTATGCAACAGAATCACACATTTCTCCACATTTCTCTCTAGCATTTCAGTCTGCCAGTGTTAACCTCATCAAGCGAATTGGCAGGCTGTCGCCTTAATGGCTGCTTGAGGAACTTCATTTTCAGTATCGACTTATCTTTTGTTAAATGTTCGTCAAAGGTCTTTTTTTCTGGGGGGTACAAAATCGTTTACATGATTGAACAGAAAAATCTTAACGTGGACTGTTAGGTTATTTCTCAAGTATTTCACTGTCTTTTCATACAAACCATTTAGAATAAAGGTATTTTCTCATATCTCACAATGATAATTTTGAGAAGCATAAAAGAAGATATTTTCATACGCCACCATATTCCGCCAGAAATATAGTTCCTTCTATTTTCAAATAGTAGTTTACCATTTCTATTTTAAATTGTACAAATGTGTTGAGGAGAGAAAATATGTTCTTTTAAATCTCTTGCACCTAAATATATAAGACATGAAAGCAGTTATACTTTGAATATTTCATCTACTCAGAAACCAGAGAAGAATCCTACCTTAATCGTTAAACACTCTACGAAAAGCTTTCTATACAACTTAAAACAATATCCAGAACTTGTTCAACAGGGATGTTTGCAAAAGGGTTTGTGGGTCTGAGCCCCCTACAAAGTAGCTGGTTTTTTTTTGTTTGGTTAGGTAAGGAGATCTTTAACCTATCCTTGCCACACAAATGCACAAAACCACTGACAATGCTTAAAACTGAGAATTTATTTTGAAAAGATGTCACGATTTCAATATTTGATGTCTTTTAAAAGATGGGACACAACCAATCATAATTTATTGTGAAGAAGTAAAACATTCACCAGACGTTAAAATAGTTTTACGTCTAGGTAAATCGATACGTTGATATTTTCTTTTTTCCAATATACTATTTAAAAACAGAAGATACAAAACTGTAATCTTCCTGTCTTTGTTTTGTTCTGTGACGTTTGACAGCCTCATTGTTTCTCGACGCCGACTTTGTCTGCTTCAGTGTATTTTACTTGATAATATACATTGTATTAGTCCTTATATAAAATACCAATTAAGAACCAATCCCTCTTTACCTGTAAAGCCCGCTCTTTTTATCAAGAAGACGGAACTATAATTATTTGCGACAATAATATGGTATATCATTTATATATATAATAATATACAATTATTGCTTTTTGAGGTCAATACGATGATTTAGCCATCTGAGGAGTACAGTATTCACCGAGCCCGAAGGGCGGGGTGAATATTGTACCTCGAAGGTGGCTAAATCATCGTATAGACTGAAAAAAAACAGCAATAATTGTTTTTATTATATGATTCAATGATGAAATGATACAACTCATTACTTGTTTGCATTTGTTGAAGTCCTAACGAGCTATAAATAGATAATCAGAGTTACAATGGAAATAAATCTCACCAGTCATATTAATTTGAAATGTTTTAAAGCTATTTTATTTACCATGAAAGAAAAAAATAATAAATATCAGGCTCTTTTACATGAAAGATTTTGAAAGGATGAAGGATTATCAGGGAGAAACTTTTAAAAAAAGTTTGTTTAGAAAAAGTATCTGAGGGAGGGGGAGACCCCCGGCACCCCCACTTACAACCCCCATCCCCAAATTATATATTCGTCTAATATTATGCTTACATAAATAAAAATCTGTATCAGGTGAAATTGCGTTCCAAAACTATTTGTAGCAATTAGGAATTTCCTGATCTATTTTTAGATCAATGTAGAGAAAATAAAAATCTTATATTCACCTGGAACGTCACGTGAAGGTAAATATAATGTAGTATTTTTTCTACATAGTTGGATCTCAGCCAATCAGAATGATAGGAATTATTCAATCATATGAGAAAATAATAATATCATATATATAATATATATTATATATATAATTATATATACATGTATAATAAGTTAATTTTTAAATGGAAATATTAGTTATCCAGGTTCAATCAAGGGTGTACAGGGATTTACCCCGGGTTGTTATTCCATACACTCTTTAGCTTATCTTATGTTTGATCTTACTTTTAACTTGTGCCGATCATTTCCTTGCTTCCAATTCATTCATAGATAAACCCATCCCGTGTAAACTTTTTCCATAGACAAATGATACAATGCAGAATATGTCTAAAATTCATTAGTTTGAACTTCATGGCGTCATTCTACGGACTTTTTGGTTACCATTCGGATGTTATTTTTTTTCCAGCAAGATGGACACAAAAGATACTGCTAAACTCATACCCGATGAGCCAGATATGAGCAATGATCTAAGTATCCCGGATGGACAAGAACGGACAACGGATTGACTCTTAGGGTTGAGCAAGTAAATCATAAGCGCAGTGGGCAGTTAATGACACCCTATTGTAACACACTGCTTCTGTTGTTGCAGCTTTCAAGCACACCAAGAAACTGACAGATTCCTAAGAGTTATTTTAATGTGTGCATCTTTCCAGATCTCAACTCATTTTAATTGGATTATTTCAATGAATTACTTATTGAATTATTAAATTTTGTAGTAAAGAACGTAATGTAAAAAAGGAAGGGGATACGATTAGAATAATGTGAGAAGTTTTATTATTAGAAAGCTTCTTTTAACTAATTGTATACTTATGTCGAAATTCAAATCATTGGGGTTTTTTGTGCTGATAGAAAAGTTTTTCTTGTGATAAATGTCAGCTTTCAAAACTGTTTATTGACATTATAGTTGTTGAAAGCTTCAATAATTATTTAGTCATGACACACATGTCTTTAGAAGATGGCTCAATTGTACAGTGTATTGCGTTTTTTTTCAATACAATTGGTTTTTTACACCCACATTATTATTATTTTTTCCTATATAATTATACCAAAAATAATTATCTCATCCCAAACTGAAAATCTTGCTTTTACAACATTATTATTATTTTCCTGCAATAATTATAATGTTGTCTGTTAAATTGTACACATTATTTTATTTTCCCCAATTATCATTATTTACACTTTACAATAATAATCTTGCCAGTCAATGTGGACACGATATTAAAAAAAAAAAAAAAAAAAATAATTTTTTTTTTTTTATTATTTTTATTTTGTACACATTTTTTTTTTATTTTACTTCAAGATCATAATTATTCTTATTTCATCATTTTATAACAATGCATCCCTGTAATAACAATGTAGTGATTGAAAATTAAAAAAAAATAAAATAAAAAAAAAAAAAACTTAAAACAATTATAATAAAAAAATCTTCGTTATATAATATTTTGTAACACATTTATTTTTTTTTTATTTTCAACATCATAATTATTCTTTTATGATGTAATAATAATGTAGGAAAATTTAAAAAAAAAAAAAAATTATTTCCGACTTTGTTTATAATTAACAATTTTCAACAGGAAAGATAACTTCTTTTTTAGTGACAGTAACGAAAACTCTGTCCCCTTCTCCACAATAATTATAAGATTGTGACTGCCTACATTATTTGAAGCGTGAAGATTTTATTATTTCTAGCGTGACGGATACAAACGTTTAAGTGAGAGAGATTTTCCTACATTATTTGAAGCGTGAAGATTTTGTTATTTGAAGCGTGAAGATTTTATTATTTGAAGCGTGAAGTTTTTATTATTTGAAGCGTGAAGTTTTTATTATTTCAAGTGTGACGGAAATCAAGCGTCGATGCGAGAGAGATCGTCTCCTGAAAAGGCCATGTGCGCTGTTCAGCCTGTTGCAAATATGAATGTAATTGTAAACAAAATGAAAGACAGAAAATCCAGCTATAGGCTTTTTAAAAGCGGTGAGTACGGACTAATCATAAATGTATATGTAAGTGACTTACATCATTCAGATAACGTCTCTTAAATCGGATGTGAGTTTATTGTAAATTGAGCTAGAGTTAAAACATTTCGAATTGCCTCAGACAGCTATCAGAAACCGACCATGTAGTGTGCACATAGACGCATGCATTATAAAACCAACCTGTCTGATTTAAAAAAGGACAATCATTTCATTTGATTGTACTGACGGATTAAGTAAATAAACATTCCCCCTTGTATATAGTATAGTTAAGTCTGATTTTGGTGGAAAAAATAAATAATCATTCTTTGATCAAGTGGAAATACATATATTCTGTCCTGTGAATGGAAGAATTTAATCTGAAAAGTTCCCAGACCCCGCCACTACCTTTTTATGAAAAGGTTGTGACTTTAACATGGTGAAAAATGCCTTTCCTTGCCAAACATTTCTCATCTACTCCTCAGACCTCTGTACATGCCATAATCTTGCCATAATCTTGCACATACATCTACGCATTTATATTTTTAGATTTTGTATGTCTATCTGCCACTGATTGAAAGAAAATTCAAGATAGAAAATGAATCAGCTGAACAATTAATTCTGTCTGAAAGTGGTGCAAGAGATACCTGATGTTTCATTTCAAAATGAAGAATTTGATGGTAAGGTTACTAAGGCCTTAATAAAAATCATTTTAACAATGAAATGCTTTCTTTGAATGTTAGAATGGTAATTAACATTGCAGTTGTTGCAGCAGAAAAAAATGCATAACCCATGTAAGCGGGATATGCATTTTTTTCTGCAACATCTGCAACATAAAGTCCCATTCTAACAAAACAAAGAAAGGCGATTTATTGTTTATATTGATTGATCCTTTAAATCTGGGAGGTGTTCTACAGTGTAGCTGCTATGCTGCCACTATGTAAAGCAATGCTTTTGATAGCTGCAGATCTGTAGCATTATGGTTTTTTTTATATTTGTCTTTACCATTACAGAGACCATGAAGAGTGCACTTGTGCGTTATAATGCGTCCGTTTTTGTCTGATTGTCTAGCCTAGTCTGTACATCTGTGAACAATTTTTATAAAATAGCTACTCCTTTCACTATTTTTGGTCTGATTTCAATATAACTTGGCACACAAGTAGACTACACTAAGATACATAATTCTGTGTATCGGTTTTTGATTTCGATGAACGGTGTTGCCGTGGTTACTAAAAATAGAAATTTATGTGAAATTCTTTCAAAATACTACTCCTCCTGCAGTTTTAGTCTGATTTCAATATAACTTGGCACACAAGTAGACTACACTAAGATACACAATTCTGTATCTCTCTCTTTTGATTTCTGACACCTAACGGTGTTGCCGTGGTTACTAAAAATAGAAATTTATAAATTCTTTCAATTAATGCTACTCCTATCTACAGTTTTAGTCTGATTTCAATGTAAATTGGCACACAAGAAGACTGAATAAGATACATAATTCTGTGTATCGGTTTTTGATTTCGATGAACGGTGTTGCCGTGGTTACTAAAAATAGACATTTCTGTGAAATTCTTTCAAAATGCTATTCCAAATACAATTTTAGTCTGATCATAATGTAAATGTGGCATGCAAGTAGACTGCACTAAGAACATAAAGAGACTTAATTAAGGATCATTATTCTATTTATTGCTGTTGAAAAGTTTTAATTTCCATATGCTTTTTTTCTCTTCCTTTGCTATAAGTACAAACCAGTAAAGCTTCACTGACAGAGACTTCAGTCATCTTAGTTTATATTTGTCTTTGACCATAAACAGATCCTGTAGTGCAGAAAATGTGCACTACCTGGTCTGTAGCGTTATATAGGTCAAAGACAAATATTGATAACGCTACAGATCTGCAGCTATGCTTTTGATTGTAGAGCTAGCCTAGCTGCTACTTAGGGTGACTTAAGGGGATGAAGGATGTATGGTCACGTGACTCAGTTGATTTACGTCATAATCTCTGATAAAATATGTACAAAACGTGATTGAAACCACAGTACTTGTATAAATTTTTTGACTGTTTGTTTGCGTTCACCATCTAGTATAAAAATATCTGAAAACATAAAATTTCTTGCAAATATTATAAAATTACGGAATGATTAATCTACTATGCCGTTTCCCTACTATGCGCGTCCAGTGCTAAGTGACGTCATAGTGGATCTCTTAGTTCAATAAGATCATACACGGTAAATACGGGTAGTATAAAATCATTAAAATGGGCCATAATGTGTACATGGTAGGGTATTTTGTAACTTTCAGAACGCAAAAAATATTACATGGTTAAAAAGTTCTGTTAGCTTATTTCAGAATGTGTGACATCATAGTTGGGTTTTCCCGTACTTGAGAAATGTAAACATTTCACGTTTTTCTCATATCATGACTCGTTTAACTTTGCCCCGTGCAATATTGAGCTAAGCTTCAGATACAATCGCATATTTTTACAGTTAATCAATACAATGACGACCTTGAACTTCGACGTAAATTTTCAAATATTGAATGATAGGATTTTTGCAAATTAATTTTTTTATGGTTTAAGTTGTCTGCAAATCTGTTGTAAAAATTTTAAATTTCCGGCTACAGATGTGGTGTTACAAAAGGATCTTGCTTTTTCGAATTTTTAACCCTATTAATACTCTAAAATATTTTAAAAGACACATTTCCGCTGGTATATTTTTTATCTATATGGTGAAAAATTTCAATTATCGACCGAGTAATGGACCCAGAAACATGGAGAATAAAAACTCTGCTCAGACACTGTGTTAATAATATCCAAGGTATTTGTATAAATCATCCAAGCTATATATCAAACCTCATATCTCTCTCTCCTTATATATGTAGGACATACTAAATAAGATATATACAAAATATGATAAAAATTAAATGACAGGTATTTTTTCAGCCAAAGGTCCTTCATCCCCTTAAATTAGTACCTTCACTAAGCTATCGAAGCTGTTGGGAAACACTGGATGAGAATTACTTGGGTACACTTTTTTCGCCTACTTCCTATAGTTTATAAAAAAATAAATACTACTAATATATAATTTCTATTTACACTATATCATATAAATATTCTTAATTTTATATAAATGAACAATAAATAAAAGCATTAAAAAGGTGGAATTTAAGAGGGTTAATATACTCGTAGCGCTCCATTCCTTAAAAGTAATATGGGCCTCGCCTCCATAATAGAGCGCTACGAGTATATTAACCCTTACATATAATTATATAAAATACATGATTACTGTCTTAAAATATAAGCGATATTTGGGCGAGGGTAAGAAAACATGATAGGAGCGAGGCTTGCCTAGCCCTCTTACGTTTTCGACCTGAGCCCAAATAATGCTCATATTTCAAGACAGTTATCATGTATTTTGTTTATCCTGCAACATATTTTAAACATTTAAACCTCCAAAACAAGCTATTTTTGACAGATTTAGGCACATCTCTGCAGTTGAAAACTATGACGCCATGGCGTAAACATTGCAATATACATGACATCACAATGCTTTTAGAATGTTGGAATACATGCACAAGGCTTTATTAGGGCAGTGACCGGATAAAGCTTGGGTTTATCTCTAGGTTACCTTTATTAGGTCAATGCAAGGGGTAGTTGAAGGATAAAATCCTTTATGGGGTCCATTATTCTTTACTTTGCTGTGGCATAGTTTCAAGTTCAAGTGCTACTTTTTATACGCCCGTCTTAAGACGGGACGTATTATGTTATAGGCTTCGTGTCCGTCTGTCTGTCTGTCTGTCCGTCCGTCTGTTAGCTTTTCTCGTGTCCGGCTCATAACTTTAATACTATAAGGCCTAGAGTTATCAAACTTTGTCAGCTGATGCATCTTGGGTAGAAGGTGTATCGCGCACAAAAAGTAGGTCGCTCTGACCTATATTTAAAAAGTTATAGCCAAATATGGAAAAATCCTGTCCAGTCCATAACTAGAAAACTATTAGACTTAGAATCATCAAACTTGGCCAGTTTATGCATTTTAGGTAGAAGGTGTGTCGCGACCTATTTCAAGGTCACTGTGACCTTTAATTTAAGTGGAATTTAAAAAAAAAATGTCTTTTTTTTCTATTCATTTACACATTCAAAAAAATGTAAAACTATTTCACTAACCTTATTAGAACTAGAGGTACTGTGAGCAATGGGCTCACTAAATGATACCCCCCGCTTCCCTTTTGTGTATAAATGGCAGTGTCCATGTTTTGCTATGGGAAACCCAAAATATGTGTCGGATCAAAAAGTAAAATAGAAGGTGCACAATGGCAATATGTAATAAAGATTCTGTGAAAGTTTCATTTAATTTCACTCAGTGGTTTAAGAGGAGTTGAGGATAAGAGATGGGTACCCCAAAGCGTAACAGACGGACGGACAGACAGACGGACGTACAGACGGACAAACGGAATTAACGATTACTATATACCCTCCCGCTTTTCAAGCGGGGGGTATAATGAGTTTAGTGTGAGGAGTAGCTGTAAGAGCATCGGTGCTATCTATATCCCTTGAGTATTGGGCCAAATGGGTAAGCCTTTTGGATTAAAAATAGCTCTTGTTGGCTAGCCGAAGTTTTAAAATAAATTTGATGAGAAGTAATTAAAACTAGAGGTACTGTGAGCGATGAGCTCACTAAATGATACCCCCCGCCTCCCATATGGTTATAAGTGGTGAAAAAGTCCATGTTTTCCTGTGACCGGGAAACCTAAAATATGAGTCGGATCAAAAAGTAAAATAGGAGGTGCACAATGGCAATATGTAATAAAGATTTTGTGAAAGTTGCATCAAATTTCATTCAGTGGTATGAGAGGAGTTGCGGATAAGAGATGGGTACCCCAAAGCGTAACAGACGGACGGAAGGACGGACAGACAGACGGACAGATGTACAGACGGACGGAATTAACGATTACTATATACCCTCCCGCTTTTCAAGCGGGGGGTATAATAACTAATTTGATATTGCATATTAAACTATTTTGATATTACATAATATTATGATCTTAAAAATTGATTTTATGGGGGTAGGGGTGGAATCTGCATGTCCATGTCAATTGCATCTTAATTAACTGTCTGACATTAAATCTAAAAAAAAATCATTGATGTTTTATATGTTTTAAAAATGTTTTATGGTAGATAGTGCAGATCCAATAATGTTTTGGGAGTAATGAGTAGACAAGCATCCAGTTAAAGATTAATTAATGTGTTCAATGTAGGAAGGCTAGCTGCATTTCTCTTTCATTTCTTCAGAGCATGGTCTTTATCTGGATCCTTCGGAAATTAGACAGAAGAACTTTGATGGCCAGCCTTTCATTTTCCAAAATTAATTAGGTATAGGTTAAGTTGTGAAGACTAATTTGATATTGTTTAATATGATAGGCATTTGGCAAGGTATAGAAATCTATGAATGATGCAATATTTGTTATAATTAATGCCTACACTACATGAGATGGATAAACAAATTTTTTAAGGTGTGTAAAAATCATTGAAATCTTAAAATCAAGGTTGACATGATTTTCCTGCACTTTTAACTGTTTAAGATACATTGTAATTGTAATTTTTTGACGGGCGTATCATGCTGTGGCGTGGCACTTTATCTCTTCCTTTGTTACAAATACAAATCAGAGCTACAGTCTCATCAAGTCTCATGGGGTTTAGCCATTAGTAGCTTTATTCAAGTCATCATTGACAATGTCCATGTTTTGCATTTAAATACTAAAATACCTCTAATTAAAGTAGGAGGTAAACATTGGCAATATGTAAAAAATTTCTTTTGAAAATTTCATTTTTTCTCTCAGGTATAAGATAGTTGCGGATAAGAGAACACACTGAGCGTAACAGACCGGATTTCATAATTCGCTTCGGACGGGGTATTGTATATAGTTGAATTAACTGTCTGACATTAAATCTCAATGTTATGTTTTCATATGTTTTATATGTTTTAAAAATGTTTTATGGTAGATAGTGCAGATCCAATAATGTTTTGGGAGTAATGAGTAGACAAGCATCCAGTTAAAGATTAATTAATGTGTTCAATGTAGGAAGGCTAGCTGCATTTCTCTTTCATTTCTTCAGAGCATGGTCTTTATCTGTATCCTTCGGGAATTAGACATAAGAACTTTGATGGCCAGCCTTTCATTTTCCAAAATTAATTATATAGATTAAGTTGTGAAGACTAATTTGATATTGTTTAATATGATAGGCATTTGGCAAGGTATAGAAATCTATGAATGATGCAATATTTGTTATAATTAATGCCTACACTACATGAGATGGATAAACAAATTTTTTAAGGTGTGTAAAAATCATTGAAATCTAAAAATCAAGGTTGACATGATTTTCCTGCACTTTTAACTGTTTAAGATACATTGTAATTGTAATTTTTTGACGGGCGTATCATGCTGTGGCGTGGCACTTTATCTCTTCCTTTGTTACAAATACAAATCAGAGCTACAGTCTCATCAGAGACTTCTGGTTTAGCCATTAGTATCAGTAATCGGAGGCTTCCTTTTCATGGTAGTTATCATTACAAACTGCAGGAAAATAATCCCCAATCAAACCCAGGTTCTGTTTGATTACCCAGGTATGCATTATTTATTACAAAAATGTATTATGAGAATTCTGTGTTTTTGAACTTTTTTTTTTCAGGGTTTGGGAACCATCAATTTGATGTCGAGAGTTTCAACTTATCCGTGGTAGAATTTTAGCTTATATCATAAATTCAGACCTATGGACCAAAAAAATACAAGGTGAAGATAAGTAAGGAAAACACAGCCTTGATAAATTTCAGAGAATTCTTGATGAAAGAGTATGCAGACCTGGACCAAAAATTTGCAATATGAATAATTTTGAAGAAAGAACAATCTTGGCAAATTTCAGAGAATTCTAAACGGAAGAGTGCAAGTGTTGTTACTTGAACAATATGTACATGAAAGTGTCCTTTGACAACATCTGACATTGGATTTGTAGTGATGCATTTAATGAACTGGGATCTGAATGAGTTAACAAACTTGAATTTTGGCATTTACATTGATTGCATATATAAAAATATTCAATGTATAACGACCATATTTTGTACCAAAGTAATGAATGGTCCAATATTGTATCATGGTAGCAATTTGACATGATTTGAAGATATTATTAAATAAAAATGCTTCATTGCAGGAATTATTGTCCAATTAATTGCATCTTGAATTCAACATTGAAGTATATGGGCAGCACATGTTTTTGTTTAAGATATTGTAAATTATAATCTGAATCCAAAACAAATCTCTTGGTGAAAATATGCATAAACTCTCTCTTTATTATACTATGAAATGAAATGAAACATATACCACATATATTTTGACAAATTAAAAACATTTTTTTAAATCAAAGTTAGAAAATTCTTCAAAATCTCTAAAGGAGAAAAAAGACCAGCTTCTAATATCATATGTTTTAGGTTTTGTCAATTGGTTCATTTCACATTTAATGTTAACTAGCAATGTATTTTTAACTTGTTTAAAATCATTCAAAATTGTTCAAAAATCCCTTGTTTAACATGTACATAAAATACCTTAAATTTGCATTTCCAATAGCAAAGCAATTGACGCAATTTTTATTTGAATTTTTCTCTACCATTTTCCTAAAAGAAGTAATTCATTTTAAGTATTTGAAGCTATCAGGTTACTCATATATTAAATGACGATTTATTGAGCTACCCATTTGGTGACAATAAATACATCATATATTGTAATATTTACTCATTTTCTTAAAAAACAAGACAAAAACAATTCCACCCAACAGGGAAAGAATGTACTAAATTTATAAGGAAATGGATGATAAACTGGATGGGTTTTTTGAGCGTTTTCTTGGATTTGAATGACAAAAAGTAATAGAAGATATGGAGATAACGAACAGTATTCCATTTCAAAGTCCATAAAACAATACAAAATACAGTATAAGTGGAAATTTTAGGGAGATGCAAATTTGCTGTTAGCGAAAAGTAATTTTAGCCATTTTAAAAATGCCACCGAAGAAGCTATTACAAATGAAACCAAAATTAATTTTTAGCGATATCAGTGCCTTCGCTAATAATGCCAAAATAAAATTCTTGCTAAAATTTCCACGTATACGGTAGGAGCAGAGCAAACATGGACCTCCAAAACATCAGAGGTGGGATCAGTTGCCATGGAGGAGTGAACATCCCCTGCCAAACGGTCACACAAGCTGTGTGCTCCTAGTCATGATCGGGAAATGGCAGAAAAATCCGTCATCAATTCAGTGTATAAATATTGGACTAACAATTAGTATGAAAAACATCAGTCAGCATTTGACTCAATGATAAATCGTATTAGCTTACAATTCAAAAGTTATGACAAGAGGCCCATGGGCCACATCGCTCACCTGAGTTACTTTGGTGATGCAGTTCTTTCCAGATTTCCCCTTTTCTTGTATCTATTGTGCCCCCCCACCACCACCACCACTGTTTACCCCCATCTTGATTTTAATAATTTAGAATCTACACTTCACAAGGATGCTTCCACATAAGTTTCAGCTTTCCCGACCCACTGGTTCTTGGGAAGATTTTTCCTATATATTTCAGTCTATGTAAAACTTGGATTTCCTATTTTGGCCCCAGCCTACCCCCAGGGGTCATGATTTGAACAATTTAGAATCTACACTACCCCAGGATGCTTCCACATAAGTTTCATCCTTCCTGGCCCAGTGGTTCTTGAGATTTTTTTATGACCCCGACCAAATTTGTCTTTTCTTGATTATCTCCCCTTGGAAGGGGACTTGGCCCTTTATTTTTACAATTTAATTTCCCCAGCACATAAGGATGCTTTGTACCAACTTTGGTGAAAATTGGCCTAGTGGTTCTTGAGAAGAAGTTGAAAATGTGTAAAGTTTACAGACGGACGGACGGACTACTTACAAAATGTGATCAGAAAAGCCTTCGGTGAGCTAAAAAAGGATAAGGTTTTTGCAAACAGACAGACAGACAGAGCAAAAACCACAAGCCCCCAAATCTCTAATTATGGGGGTTAAAAACACCTATGCAAATTACATCTAAATACCGTTACATATTTCCTAAAAATAAAGCAAAAACAAGACTGGAGTAATTAGTTTATTACATCATTTCAGACATTAATTTTGTTTCTTAAATCAATCAACACCAAGTATGACATCTCTAAATTTCAGTAACATCAGTATCCAGTTTGTGTAGAGTTTTCATCTGCTATTAAATCTGTACATATTATGTTTTGATATTAGGTTATTTTGAAATGTTTCAAGATTGATATCATGGACACTGCTTTCTCAGATTAGATACACTATCATGTCAGAAGGCTCAAAGACTCAGTGATAAAGAATTACAAGTATTGTACAAAATTTAGTGATAGCAATAGCTTTGACAGTTTATCAATCCATCTAAATCTATAAAATAGATCTTTCTCCTTCTTCAGGTCCTTTTCTTTCAAACAAAACATTTTCAAAGCTGGATATGACATCATTTACTGGAGGTACTGAAATGTAACAATATCATTACATGTATATCACCTGATTGTTGATCAATGAAAATAACACATAACAAGAGGCCCATGGACCACAATGCTCACCTTAACATGAGCTCCTATAACATGCATTTCTGTCCCTTCATCATAATTTGCATTTATCTCAGTTTCAAAGAAAGTATTCAAAATATTTTTAAAGAAACTTCATATGCTGACACATAATAATGAGAGAACCTCTCAACTGCATCCACTTTTTTGGACATTGACCTTTCTTTTGACATTGACCTTAATTTCTTGAATTTGTGTTTAGCCCAGTTTCAAGAGCTATTAATAATACTTTTGTCAAACCTTATATGCTGATACATATTGATGGGACCTATTTAATTTCATCAACATTTTTTGACCTGATTTTTCCTATAATTTAATTTGTTAAATTCAGTTTTAAAAGAATGAGATGAATAAAATAGGAAGATTTTCAAATGACTCAATAAAACCTTTTTTTTCTTTCCTGAATTATCTCCCCTTAGCCTTAATCCTACCCCTTCAATCTTGCCTTTTGATTTTGTTGAATTATGGGGGGAGAGATTAAAATGTAACAAGAAGCCCATGGGCCACATCGCTCACCTGAGCACTAAGGGTAGGAAAAAGTAGAAAATGGCTTTTTATTGTAAAGTTTAAATAAAAAAAAGTAGTTCCATGACCAATCATGGATTTGCTATATTTAGAAAATGATTTTTAAAGAATATATATATATCTTTAAAAACTTTGGTCGGCCATTTTGGCCCCGCCCTACCCCTGAGGGTCATGATTTGAAAAAAATTGAATCTACACTACTTGAGCATGATTCCATATAATATGATGAATTATGGCTTTGTCATTCTTGAGAAGAAGATTTTTAAAGAATTTTCCTATATATTTCTATGTAAAACTTTGGTCGGCCATTTTGGCCACGCCCTACCCCTAGGGGTCATGATTTGAACAAACTTGAATCTACACTACCTGAGGATGTTTCCCCATAAGTTTCATCTTTCCTGGCACAGTGGTGCATGAGAAGAAGATTTTTTAAATATGCTATATATTTCAAATTTTCATTAATTTCCAATTATCTCCCCTTGAATGAGGGCGTGGCCCTTATATTTCCAAAAACATCTCCCCATTTGAACAAAAAACCTGAGTCCCCTTCACCCAAGGATACTTTGTGGCAAGTTTGGTTAAAATTGGCCCAACGGTTCTTGAGAAGAAGTCGAAAATGTGAAAAGTTTACAGACAGACGGACGGACGACGGACACCTTACTATCACATAAGCTCTTCTGGTCTCTGACCAGTAGATCTAAAAAATTCATGTAAAATATCTGCAATTGCCCTCAAGCTTTTTTTTACACCCTCCCTGGGTAAATCTGCCATTATCTGTAATAAATAAATCAATTCTTTAAATTCTGTAGAACAGAATGTCCATTTTACCTTGTCATCCATATTTCTTTGAGTGAATAATCCTTTCCTTTCTTTGCCACACTTTTTCTTTCTTTAGAACATTTATACTAAGTCTTCTAAAAACCAAAACTCTTTGTAGCTCCTAAAAAAATAAATGTGCACATAATTCTTTCAATAATTATAGAATAATTTTGATTTCTCATGATGACTGATGATTAATGAATTGTTTAAAAAGGCATTGAAGAGTGTTTTACATAAAACAAAGACAAGGAATCAGTATCAGATTTTGAATTTTGCTTCTGGGAACTACTCGGCATGATATATCATAACATATGGTATACACAGAACATGAACACAGAGGGCGTGCATGTTTAAACTAGTTCAGTGAAAGTGTGCTATACATAAGGCAATCATTAAAACAAAACTGTAAAGGAAAAATAACCAAGCTTGCCTGTTAGCTCTAAAATCAAAGGCTGATGGCCTTGTAGATGAGGGCCGGTGGCCTTTGTTGACCTATGGTTTGAGTGATGCTGGTGGCTTTAAAAACTTAAGAGTAGGCCTATGGCCTGAGATATACAGAGGCCAATGGCCAAGGTGACCGATGGTCACAAGTACAAATTATTTTAGGGCAGATTAATACACGTCAAAGACTTACTTATAAGATTGACCATGTGGTAATTCCCATTATGTGTTGGCCGATGGCCTGAGATCATGTAAAGAGGCCGATGACTAAGATGACCGATGCTCATAAATGAATTTGAAAATATTAACACATCAAGGCATTATAGGATTAACAATGTTTTAATACCCCCTCTCATGAGTAGTTTCCCTTGATCAGATACCGAAGGTGGTGGGGAACTGGTAGTTCAGTTCCAAAACAACAGAGAATCAATGTAACATAAGAATCAAGCTATTGTCTATAAGTGAAATGATTTGATTTGCACATGTCATGAAATCACTGATAATAATAATCTGACAAATGGTGCAAAACTCTGTACTTTATATAAACAGTATTTAATTTATACATTAAAAATAATATTTAGAAAATCTTTTCATCACAATACTTGTGAATGGATTTAATCCGTACAAAGTCAAAATTGAAAAATTTATATCCAGATTCCATACTCAGGCTAAGTGGTTTGCTTTATATTTTCACTCGTGCTTCGCACTCGTGAAAATTTAAAAAAAATCCTGTCCCACTCGTGAAATAAATTCCATAATCAACTCCAAAACATTGAATATCCTCTATTTACTCTATTAAAATCATAATCAAATACACTGTAGGTCTCTCACTGTGTAGAGAGTCTTCAATACCCGGTACATTAAAAGCCTCCCCCCATAGCCACACATGCAGAAACACAAGCAATAACACTTCTACCTGTAAATTTCATTCCAACATTGCCAGGACAGTTCTTACTTAGGACAACATCCATACATCTCATGATCTGCAATATAAGACAGTACATGTATTTTGATGATCTGGTCCTACAGTAAATAAAAACTGAGTAGAAAAATCAATACGATTACGTTATAGTTTTACTTCAACTTGAAACCCAATCAAAGCATTCAGTTTCAATAGATGTGAAAGACTTACTGCAGAGAAAATTCAAGTTAAAACTGTAAAATACAAGTACATGTATATACTATACCCTTCATGCCTACAGGTACACAAGGCCTCATTACCACAGCCTTCACCTGCCTCTGTCTTTGGCTAATGCCCCTGCTGATGCCCAGCTAATCCAACCCAGCTGGAATCTTTCTTGTTCCATTGTTCTTCTCCAAGTTCGTTTCAGCCAGCTTTCTTCTGAGTGCCATGTCATTGCCGGAGTACAAATCATGTTGTTCTCCATCCTAGGACTATAAATAAATAGCCAATCCAATACCACTTCCTGAGAAATGTTTTTTCAATCTCCTTGAACTACTTGTTTTTATTTTACTGCTTTTTGAGAAATATACTTAAATTATGCCAATTTAACTATATATAGAATATTAATAAAGAAATAGATCTAGATTATGCTATATTATTTATATGTACAACATAAATCACCAAACAATTCCATTCTTATATGGAAAAGAAGTACAGAGACAATTCGAACTACCTGTTTCTTCGGTAGGCTAGCTCTTAAATTTGATCTGCAGTTTGACAGATCATGACTGACATGAGATGATAAGATTTGAAAGCGTAACCTTTATTAAATGAATGCATGACACTTACTTGTACATAAATGATACGTAATAGGCTACTTACAGCGCTTTGTCTGTCGTCGGCTTCTTGTTTATATATATAATCGCACAGCACATGGCTTTTTCAGGTGACGATCTCTCTCGCATCGACGCTTGATTTCCGTCACACTTGAAATAATAAAAACTTCACGCTTCAAATAATAAAAACTTCAGTCTTCACGCTTCAAATAATAAAATCTTCACGCTTCAAATAATGTAGGAAAATCTCTCTCACTTAAACGTTTGTGTCCGTCACGCTAGAAATAATAAAATCTTCACGCTTCAAATAATGTAGGCAGTCACAATCTTATAATTATTGTGGAGAAGGGGACAGAGTTTTCGTTACTGTCACTAAAAAAGAAGTTATCTTTCCTGTTGAAAATAAAAACAAAGTCCCGTTTACATCATTATTATTGTTGCAAAGATTATATAACGAAGATTTCGGAAATAATTGTTTTAAGTTTTTTTTTTTTTTTTATTTTTTTTTTTAAAAAAAAAAAATTTTTTTTTTAAAAAAAAAATAAAAAAAAAAAAAAAAAAAAATGTGTACAAAATAAAAATAATAAAAAAAAATAAATTTAAAATTTTTTTTTTTTTTTTAATTGGGGGAATATCGTGTCCAATGTGTAAATAATGATAATTGGGGAAAATAAAATAATGTGTACATTTACAGAAAATAATAATAATGTGTCCACATTATTTTTGGTATAATTATATAGGAAAAAAAAATAATAATGTGGGGGTACCCTACGGCTTTCCATAATCAAAAGAACCTTTTTTTTTTTTACTTTTGACTGGCAAGATTATTATTGTAAAGTGTAAATAATGATATATTGGGGAAAATAAAATAATGTGTACAATTTAACAGACAACATTATAATTATTGCAGGAAAATAATAATAATGTTGTAAAAAGCAAGATTTTCAGTTTTTTTAAAATAACTTGGGATGAGATAATTATTTTTGGTATAATTATATAGCAAACAAACTATATTCGCGGACAGAATTTATTCAGCTGTTAATCAAAAGGGAAGTCCTCCAGCTCCACGCATGTATCGATCGCTATGTACACGACAATACTTCCACGGTTAGCCCATACACCGAATTATGAAGTATGAAAAGTCCATCATTCTCGTACCGAATGTCTAATGTCTTTTGAATCTCCTGTGTCGCAGACAATCGCGTGCTGTTGTTCCTCGTAGTTCTTGAAGTCGCGATATCCGAGAACTTCCGAAGGGGAACGAGTGACGTCACACAAAAAATAGCAACTACAGTGACGCAATATCTATAAATAATTTTACAATTAACAGGGTTGTGAAATTTTTATATTAATCGTAAGATATTTTTGTGAAAAGTGCTTCCGAACCTTAGAAATCTGGTTAAAAGAAAAAAAATCTCATTCTGTAGAGTTCATCAACTAAAAGGGGGACAGCATTTCCTTCAATATAATGACTTCGTTATACTCCCCAGGCGCGTAGCCAGGCGTACGTTTGTACGCACAAACGTTCACATCATTTTTAAAAAAAAAAAAAAAAAGAAAAAAAGAAAGAAAGAAAAGAAAAAGAGAGAGGAGAGCGAAACAGCGTAATATTGTTAAGCGTTCTCATCATTTTTGCAAAATATTAGAAAATAACTTTTAAAAAATACTTAGAAACAATTTAGAATTAACGATAAAAAAAATCAATGAAAAATCAACAGAATCAGTTTTAGGGGAAAATACGAGAGTAAACACCTCACTGAAATCAAAAAAATTTCCAGGATTTTGGTTTACTATCGAATATTACATAGTTTTTTCCAAGTGTAATTATATTCGTAAAGAGTTTCTCTATCGTAGATTTCATACTATAAAACCCTAGTCAGCACTCTTAAAACAAACGATAATATTTAATGCCAAAAATTTCAATTTCTATTACTGGAAACTAACTTCCAACCGTAATGCTTAACTTCTGTAACGATATCCCTCCCCTTTCCAAAAAAAAAAAGAAAAAAAAACCTGATATCGGATTCGTGCGAGACTTCAAAAATCATAATTCAGCTTTATATATATGAACATCAAAAATCGAAATATTGGTAAAATTCAGTTTAACCTTTACAAAAAAGTCCGCTCAAGTATTGAAATCCGTAACACTACCTTAAAACCATTACTATATATTTTTTTAATTGTTGCAAAAAGTTAAATATACCATTTTTGTGAATAATATATTATATTTATGAACATTCGTTTTAAAATGTAAACAATGTACATAGCTAATGTGCAAAAAAAAATGAGTTGAAAAGAATTCTATCTTCTGTCTTTGTTAACTTCAATCTTTAGAGGCGTATTTTCAATATTAATGTAAGCCTGACTATCAGTCAATTACGCGGTCTGTCTAAACCAGTCAACCACTCACTACAAACAAAGCTATTGGACATATCCTTTCTCTTTATTGAGTAACTGTCCGCATTTTGTACAAGGAAAGAACAGACCTCTGGCTCAAATGTGGCTGCGTAACAAACTGAAAAAGTGTAAGAAAAATGCTATCAGAAGGGTCAAATATATGCAAATCGAAATCGTCGGAAATTCACCATCTTCCGGGGGCTTCGCCCCATGGACCCCCACCAGGGCTTTGCCCTGGACCTATTGGGGGCCTTAAAGCGGCCCCCTAACCCCCCGCCTATTCAGGCGTCCACATCAAAAGTACCCTGGCTACGCCCCTGGCTAATGTGCAAAAAAAAAGAGTTGAAAAGAATTCTATCTTCTGTCTTTGTTAACTTCAATCTTTAGAGGCGTATTTTCAATATTAATGTAAGCCTGACTATCAGTCAATTACGCGGTCTGTCTAAACCAGTCAACCACTCACTACAAACAAAGCTATTGGACATATCCTTTCTCTTTATTGAGTAACTGTCCGCATTTTGTACAAGGAAAGAACAGACCTCTGGCTCAAATGTGGCTGCGTAACAAACTGAAAAAGTGTAAGAAAAATGCTATCAGAAGGGTCAAATATATGCAAATCGAAATCGTCAGAAATTCACCAGCTTCCGGGGGCTTCGCCCCATGGACCCCCACCAGGGCTTTGCCCTGGACCTATTGGGGGCCTTAAAGCGGCCCCCTAACCCCCCGCCTATTCAGGCGTCCACATCAAAAGTACCCTGGCTACGCCCCTGCTCCCGATAGAAAAGCGGAAGGGTATGCACCGTATATATAATCGCCTATAAGTCGGTTGTACTTTTTGAGGTTAATTTAGAGGGATTTGCCATTGGCGCGCTTATGAGTCGGTACAACTTTTTGCCAGAAATGACATTTTTAATCAATGCACTGATGCTTTTACTTGGTTTCCATTATTTTTTTATTTATTTATTTATTTTTTTTTGGAAATAATGCCGATCTTTAATTTTGAATCATTAAACAAATACGAAATGCGTACTTAAGATAAAAAAAATATCAATATAAGTAAATACTTTTATTTTATGTACAATCTTTGAATTCATAATTATAATACATAATTATATAGATCGTGTTCATCAATAATTGCTGGAAACATATAAAATGCTACATTTCACTGTCAAAAAAATACCAGTTTCTTTATGACTCACCTATTAGTCCGACATAGAGTTCTGGACCAAATTTTAACTCCCCCCCCCCCCCCCCCCCCCCCAAAAAAAAAAAAGAATTATAGGCGAGTATATACGGTAGTGATCGGGATTTCTGTGAAGTCCGTCTGTTCGTCCGTCTGTCCTTTACGCTTTGGGGCTCTTATCCGCAACTCCTTTTATACAGCTAAATGAAATAAATGTAACTTTCATGGAATCTTTCTTACATAGGTGCAATTATTTTCTTATCGGATACATTAAACTATTATATATTTTATGTGGGCTATAGAAAAACATTGACACTGTCACTCTTTCTATAATACTAAAGGATACCCATCTCTTATCTGCAACTCCTCCCATACCACTGAATAACATTTATTTTAATGCAATAAGTATTTTGATACCCCGGTTACCTATCAACTGGTTAATTTATTTCCAAAATCCTTTCAAAGCTAGAACACCTTATCTTATCCTCCTTCAATGAGTAAAAAGTCTGTAAAACAGTTTGTCGTGTGTTGCCACCTTTGTGACGTTTAATAATTTGTTTGAAATTCTCAAAAGTATTATTAATAATGACATATAATTTTTAGCAGACACAAGATATCAAGATGAGAAATAAAACCAATTTTGAAAAGGGAGATAATCCAAATTTACAGTAATTACCACTTAGATTTAACAGAAAAATCATGAAAATGGGTCTGAAAACGCCTCTCCTACCACGGTAAGACATGGAACAAAATTACCATTACAAAGCACAGCTATACAGTATTTCAGACTTTCACATTCAAGGAGGACACTTATTGATTACAATAAAAAATTTTAAGTAAACTTAAATTTATTTAATGATACTTACACAGATTCTGCATTACATAATGCTATTGTACACCTTGTATATTACTTTCTGATTTGACACTTTTTTGGCGTCTCCCAGAGCAAAACATGCGTAGACTTTGCCATTACAATCATATGGAATGCGGGTGTATCATTTAGTGAGCTCTGCGCTCACAGTACCTCTAGTTTAAACTAGAGCTAGAAAATTATTAAATACATGTACACAAGTGCATTATGTAGAATACTTAGAAATAAGGAAAACAATCGGTATATTACTGGTTACCGTCACTTTTTTTAGCGTTGAAATATGTCAAAGACTCCAACAGCAGATAGTGGTGTTAAAACCCTCCATGCAATATTCGAATTATCATTGTTTTTGTATTTCTCTCTTCGAATCTATGAACATGATGAAGTAAGAGGCATTTTCCTGATTATACTTTTGCTCGAGTTGACGCCTTTGGTTTTTGTTAAAAACACACAGCATTCTTTTCAAATGATAACGTGGCTGGCTGAATCTCCACACGTAAAAAATAGGATTGCAAGCACTGTTGAATAGCATAAACATCCCAGCAATGGCATAAGTTTGTCTGAACATATCTGTGTCGGTATCGAATGGAAAAGTATTAATGATCATAAAGGGAAAAAATGACATCAAAAACACACCAGTAATTATGGATATTTTTCTGGCAACCCTTGTTTGTTCTCTCGCAAACATAGTAGACGGGACAGGGTGCTTGATGTTAGAGGGTCGACCTAATTTTATTCGAATTTGGTGAATCAGATAAAAGAACATGATGAGGTTAAAAACCATTATAATAAACAGAATACTCCTGCAAGTATATGTTACCACATTTCTCTTCTCAGTGCCCTCCATTATGCAGGTTAACCCATATATGTTTTCCAAATCGAAGAATGTGCCATAAGTAACGAACAGACCTATTATCCATGACGCAACGGAAATTTTTATGACCAGTTTCTTTGTTATGAAAGAGTAGTATCGCATTCCCAAGACGAAAACACAACAACGATCTAGGCTAATCAAGGTGACGATAAACAGTGAAACTGTGGTGAAGAAGAAA